CTGCTGGATTCTCCCCGGCCCGAGGTTCTGTTAGAAGACACTCCCGCTTGTTTTTGTGAGAAGTCAGGAGGAAGCAGGGATAAGGTCCTTTGAAAGGAGGGCTGGCGTGATAAGAGGGGAGGGAGGGGACAAGATAACAGCAGAGACGTGGATGGGAAGTGAGGCAAGCAGAGCAAGCAAGGGTTCCGAGGTGGCCGGATCAAAGAGCAGCACACTTACTTCAAAGGCCCTGGGCAGCAGCCTGCGAGATGCTTCAGGCTCGGTCTCCACCCGCGCCCCTCCCCGAGCAGCTTTCTGCTGTGTTAGGGCGAAGTGACAGAGTGACAGTGAGTGACTGGGAAGGTGGGCGTCACGATGATGTGTGTGTACGTGTGTGTGGTGTGTGTGCAGTATCTGGAAGGAAGACTCGGGACATGCAGGATCTAGAAGAAACGTGGGCTGAGAGAGAAAAAGCCAGTTAACAAACTGTCATCTCTCGGAAGTACACTGTTAGGTGCCGGTCACTCCCTCCTGGTGTTCATCATTACACATCTCACAGACACTGACACCATTAGTGAGCACAAATATCCAGATTCCTCGGGAACATTGCTTTTTTTGTTGTCGTACTCTTGTCCTGGCAAAAGAATCAACTTTAGATAAGATCATAACTAATCTGTACAGTAGAATTCTCTTTTCTCTCCAACCTCTCCAAGTCTCAGGGAACTAATAGCCAAAACTTCCATTCACAAAAGTCCTTACTTTCAGCTGAGAGATTACAACCCTAGAAACAGAAACTTATGGGAGGTTGTAAGTTCCTTCCTGTACCCCGTCACCACACCCACCTTCCTCGAGCCTGGGGTTGAATACATCATTTTCTATTCCAAAATTTTTTCATTACCCAAATCAGTAACCCTCAAATATGTTCGCAGTTTTATCCTGGTAATTATTTCTTAAGAAAAGTATTCCAAGGTCAGCTAACTTTAGGAAATGACGGGTTAGAATTTCTTGCTGTAAAATGTTAAATGATCTGAAGCATCTCCAAGGTGTGTGGCACCTCTGAAACAAATTTAACAATACAGCCCGCATAGCATTCCTAAAAAACAAAAACACCTCTTTCCTCTCTCCGCCCTCAAAAAAAAAAAAGCTGCCAATAACTTTTCAAAGTATTAGACTTCTGCAAACCACAGTTCTAAAACCCTGATGTATGAGGACCTACATGCTGGAAAGAGACCTGATAATAAATCCCTGTTCTACATTTACTTGCTGACAGCAGGGAAACAATTTAATTCTCCCTCTGTGTTTGCTTACTGGTGTAATAGGATAACAACTCTCTCAAGTTTCTTGTGAAGATTGAGATAGTGTGTGTTAAGTCTTTAGCACATAGTGAGCATTCAGTAAAAGTAACTCATGTTATTGTTATCATCGTAGGACTTGGAGCTTGGTTTTCTAGACTTATGACAGCAGTGGACAAAGGCAGGGAGAAGCTGTACACTGTAAAAAGTTATTAGAATGGTTTCTTAGTAGGGAGGAATGGTTTCAAGTCTCCTGCCCTTCTAGGGTAACTGGTATACCCCCAGAGGCTCACAGTGCTCTGGCCGGGTCCTAATACTGTACCTTCTATTTTATGATGCAAGAAGGTCCTGCTCAAAGCCTTGCTCAACCATGTCCTCTCCCACCACTCCCTGGCAGTTTGTGATAATCGCTTCCTGAAAACTCCTACCGCCTTTCTGTCTCAATCTTTCTTTAGCACTTAGCACTTGCTGCTATATTTAAGTGCTGCTGAGTTTATTTTGCCGACTTCATGCTCTCAAGGGCAGAGTCTGCATCTTGTTCTATCCTTGTAAGCATGACACAGCAATCTGTAAAGGGATCGCTACAAATTTATCAAGTGAAAAAATGCCTATTTATAATTTTCCAAGTGGCTTCTTAATTGCAACATCCTCCTGAATAAATATGAGAACAGCTGACTTTTTTCTGAAGTTGGCAGGAATTCACACGTGCAAAGCTGTTTCCCCGAAGTAATCTCCATTAGAAAATCATATGCTGCCCTCCGGTGTCTGATACAGGTATCATTACCCTGCACCAGAAGAGCAATGAAAACAATGAGGGCGCGATTACATTTACTTGGACTGCACTTTACTTTCCGATACCTGAATGGAAGTTTTCCACACAAGATCGTTCTTCCTTCTACAATTATCTTTATTCAACATGTTTCAAGTTAACATGTTTTAGAGTTATATGAGATCTCTTATATTGCTGTTATTTATATTTCTCCAGTATAATCTGCTAAGCTTTTAATACTTCGATTTTAAAAATGTGACAGTATCTGACATCAACTTTTTCTAGTAGTATCTCTATATACTGGATCTATTTGGGGCAGTGGGATGTTTGGGGTTTTGTACATGAAACTAGACAGACCTGGTTTCAAATCCAGGCTTAGATAACAAGCTGTGTGACTTTCCAAATTAATTTTTCTGAATGTTTCACCTGTAAAATAAAGATGGTATTTCCCAAAGATTAAATAAGATAAATGCTTAGATATTATTACTATGATAGGAAACATGTCTTCAAGTATCTTTTTTTTTTTTTTTTTTGCTACTATCCATCAGCACAGTTGATAGATGTTACATGTGCAGAAAATATAGTGCTAGGAGTTTCTGGTTTCTTGATAGGGTAAGACCTTTCCAATGAAAGAGGGGTAATATTACTGAGTTTGACTTTTCCACATGAACAAAGAAACAATCAACACAAGTTGAAGACTGCCTATATACATGAACTAGCAATATATTATTAAACTTTATCTTCCTATATCCAACAAGATGTATAAAACACTTAAGATATGTCAGTTAACAGGTGAAAATCTTGCCCTTGTGTAACCCAATATAAATTGTAGCTAATTTGTGGTGGTCTTTATCTAATCTATTAACATCCTTCTCAATTCTTGCAGTCCTTAATATATACACTACTCAATTTTCAAGTATACCATCCCATACAATAGATCTGTCTCTTTATACACAGTGTAAGACATCATCTTTTTTGGTCTGTTTGGTAGAGCCTCTTTGATTTAATTGCTAACAATAGCTTTTAGTTACCTGTCTATTCTCCACACACACATGGGAAGGATTCTCTGAAACAAGTCAGTTGGTTTTCTAACAGTGATGGCCCATTTCATTCATTTTTGAGAAAACATCTACTAAATACTCAAGAGTAAGCAACTATAATCTATTGCTCATTCTTCCAAGTAAAAAATGCTAAGGAAGGAATTTCAGTCAAAACTACTTGTATACTAATACCATGATTTTATTTGCCTTTTTCATTAATTTGCACGAATGGCAGAAATGCAAGTGCCAAAATTACTAACATGAATCAAGGGAGTGGCACAAAACTGTACTAGTAATCACTGTACTGTCACCTCTCAATAAAAACAGCTATTACAAGTCTACCTCGGTGTCACTTAAGAACATACTTAATGGAGCTGTAAAGATTACTAATTTTATGAAATCATACCCCTGGAAGACCTGTGTTGTAGTACTTTGTGTGATGAGACCGGCAGTACACATAGTGTTCCCGCTGCCCACAAAATGTCATGAATTTCTCGAGGAAAAGCACTCGTGCTTATCTGAGTTGCAAACTGAACCGCTGTCTTTTTTCCATGAAAGAACATACAAGTTTTACATGAAAGAACTAGTTTCCAGATTTAGGTATTTGGTATAAATACGTACATCCTTGAAAACAAATTAAGTGAGCCTGTCATTTAATGAAAAATGACCTATTTTCTACCGGTACTCAAACTGAAGCTTTCAAGCAAAAACTTAACACCTGTAGAAAACATAGTGCTGGGAATTTCTCGGTTTCTTGATACTGTAAGACTTTCCTGATGAAATAGGGATGATACTAATTAACTTACCTTTTTCAGAAACTACCCCTGGTATTTGCTTAAATGTCAAGGAATACACACAATTATTTAAAAGGGCTAAAAAGTCTTCCCGAACTACATATTTATGAAAAGTAGATTTTCTCATACTTCAACCAAAACTTTTTATCCCAACAGTGTAAATGCAGAAAATAAGAACCCAAACACCTATTAAGCCAGGTGTCAAAATTGTTTTTTTTTTTAAAAAAGCCACCCTTCTCACTAAATTGTTTTGGAAGTCATTTTCATAAAATCTGCTTTTGTTATGTAATTTCGATATTTTTACATGAACTGCTGCGTATTTTCAAATCTCCTGCTTTAATTTCTACCGTGAATATTAACAAATACATATTCAAAATACACAACACAGCCCACATCAATGTATATTCGCTGGGGTCTTCAACAATTTTTAAAAGTATAATGGAGGTCCACACGTCAAAATGTTTTAAGGATCACTGAGTAAAAACGTCAGCGGCAGCAAACCTGTAATCCCAGCACTAGGGAGGCTGAGGCAGGGGGCTCTTTAAGTTTCAGCCCAGCCTGGACCTTAGCAAGACCCGGTCTCAAAAAAAAACAGCCTGGTGTGATCCCCAGCACCACTAAATAAAACTGCCAGCCCACTTCTGTTTAAAAACCCTCCAAAGGTTCCGTCCTTAGATGTCCTTGTCTTTGCCTACAAGGACCTACTCTTGGGTCTCCCCTCCACAACAGTATCTGTCGCTGTGATTTCCCTCGCTCGCTCTCTCCAGCCACACTTGCTTCTGCTGTTCCTCTAAGTAGCCAAACACTCCCAGCTTTGGCGCCATGCCCTGGCGATTTCCTCTACATGAATGGCAATTTCCCCAGTTTTCTGCAGAGCTGTTTCCTTCAATTCTTCACTCTTTCCTCAAATAGTATCATCTCAATAATCTGAGCATCATTTAAAATTGTTACCTCACCAGCTTGCCCCACTTCCTGGCATTTTCTAACACTGGAGTCTATAGTTTGGTCTCCCTCTCCCCAACTAGTACAATGGAAGCCCCAAGACTTAGAGAAAGCCCCGCCACGTAGAACGCAACACGCCATTTGTTGAGTGTTGAATGAATAAAAGAACTCATCTGCCAGCTCGTCATTTCTGAAGCCACAGATTTCAAACAAATTGTATTCAATTTACAATAGGTCGGTGACAGCAAACTTTTGCAATGGGAAACAGAATGGGATATTATAAAAAACTCCAAATGAACCTGAAAACATTCGTGGAACACACCGGTGTGGAGTAATGGTACAGAGGTGTGGATGCTGATTTCAGGCCGGGCAATGAACGCTGGCCCCGTGCCCCCCTCATTTCCTACTCGTACTTCTCAGCAGACCTTGGTCCCAGCGTCCTCCCGAGCCCCTCCACCCGACACAGCAGTTCACACCAAGAGCCTGGGAACTTTCTAAACTTTATGGAAAAACAGCAACGGCGGCAATCAACAAGCCGAAACCCCCAGCCTCCAAGTCCCGTCTCAGTCCGGCGCACAGTGAGTCTCAGGCCTGGCCCCGACGGTCTCTCGGCGCCAGGTCCGCAGGGCACACCACGGCAGGGCTGGGGGCCGCCGCTGGGAACGCACGGCCGCACGCGCAAAGCCGTCCACGGGGGCAGGAAGACGCCGGGAGGACGGCGGCCGGCGGAGGCCAGGCGGCGCGGGGCTCAGTTCTCCTCGGGCTTGTCGGCGGGCGGCCCGCAGGGCTGCAGCATCTTCTCCATCAAGTTGAAGCGGACTCGCGCCTTGCTCTCGTTCTCGGCAATGGCGAAGTAGTTGAGAAGGTCGAAGTGGCCCATGTAGGAGCAGTACGAGTCGCGGTGCTGGTTCACCAGCCACTCCCACTTGGTGGTGTCGGCGTGGCCCGTGCCGATGTACTTGGACTGGAGATGCTCCAGCTGGCTGTGGATGGTGTAGCGGTCCGTCATCTTGCCGCTTTTCCTTCCGTGCCGAGGTCAGAGGCCGAAGACAAGGAGCCGCTCTCGGGGTTCCCGCCGGAGAGAGGACGCCAACCGTCACCTCCACTCTCGCGCAGTCGCAGGAGAATGGCGTCACGACGTCGAGCTTGCGCAGACTCTCGGTCACGAGCCGGAAGCGGAAGTGCATTCTGTCGCGCAATTGGGGTTGCCTAGGCGAACCAGCGATTGTGCCGCCCCTCGCAGAGCTCCGCCCCATCGGAAGTCGTGGCATTATGGTCCACTCAGCGGCTCTATCTTAACTCCAGCCTTGCTTTCTGGGGCTTGTAGTCCCGGAGTTCGCGCTCGCAGGCCACAGGGAGTCCTTGTTTTGTTCCCTACCTCCCTTCTTCCCTACGTCTTTCTTTTCCTTCTTCTTTCTTTCTGTCCACCCTTCTGGAGATAGAACCCAGGACCTTCGCACTGAGTTACATCCTCAGACTTTGTATGTGGGGACAAAATCTCTCTCATTTACTAAATTGCCCAGAATGGGCTTTAACTCTCCATCCTCCTGCCTCAGCCTTCCAAAGTACTGGGATTACAAGCGTGCCCCACCACATTCCGCTGCCTCTCCCATTTTCAGAGGACTTGGGCTGCCTAAGGGAGGAGGGTGTTGGGGAGGCGGCTTGGGGCTGAGAGGAATGGGAAACGCCAGGTAGGACAGGGCTATGACCATCCATGAAGGTGCACTCCTGGTGCGGCAGCAGGTCGTTCCCTTACTGTCAAGGGCTGGTCACCCTGAAGTTAGTCACCCCAGAGTCTGGTCCCAACTCTTGTCTCATGGGCCTTGTGTAGGGTGAGGAAGTTATTTCAGCCCCAGCAGGGCCGCGGTTTCCAGCTGCAGGTCCACAGTGCAGCGCGAGTTCCGAGTCTTCTGCGCTGCACACCGGTTCTGCGTCTGGCTTCGACGCTCACTCCAGCCCGTCACCCCACCTGGGTGGCCCAGCCCGCACCATCGTGCGCCCCCAGGCCTGTGCACCCTGCTCAGAAGGCCTTCCCTTGGCGAACGCCGGGGCCCAGGCCCCTCCTCCAGGCGGCGCCAGAAGTGAGGGGTCTCTCCCCGCCTCTGCGCTTTGCTTTGCTTCTTCACCACTCTCTTCTGTCCTGCTGTGATCTCCTGCAATGCCATCTGCATAGCCAGGAGGAGATCAAATTCTCTAGAAGGTCTGATGAATACATGGGGAACGGTGACAGCAGAGAAGAAACTGGGAGAAAGAGAAGCTGCTTAAACTTTGTCGTAATAAAAGTTTCATTCCTGACCTGGAGAGAGTATGTAAGGCGCGCTTGCGCCTTGGCCATCTGGATGTACCACACCGTGCGCTTTTGCCCTTGTGGTTTCATTGCAAATAAGCTTGAGGTCTTGTCCGTTCCCTAATCTTGCCACTTCGGGGTACTATCCTGATTTTAATCATTCGTTACCTGGTTCTTGGATTGTTGAACATCTGTGTATCCATAAACCACAGTTGTTATGCGTGTTTAAAACTTTATATAAGTAACCCTTTGGGTATATTTTTATAAAAGTTGCTTTCCTCTTACTCACCATTCTAATTTTAGCCAATACGTCTAACCTTAGTTCATCTTTATTGCTATATGTCACTGAATTAATGTTTCATAACGTTGTTGGGTAGTTTCTTTAGAAATGACTCACCAATTAAAGGTATCCCAGGTCCTTGCTTCAAACAAAGAATTGAATGAGACAAGCCAAAAAACAGTGCCAAAAGTTTATTTGAAAAAGGGGGAGAGGAGGGGTAAGGGAAAAACGGCTCTGAGGAGTGAACTTGGGCCGAACAAAAGAGAACAAGAGAAAAAGCAAAAGTAAAAGTACAGCCTGACCTAGAAGACATGGAGTGGAATCCTGTGAAGGGTTGCTAGGGAGCTCCTGGCATCGGTGTGGTCATACCGCGTCCACATCTCTGGGAGCCCAGAGGAAGCTCCACAGAATTACCTAGTGCTGTCCTGGGACCTTGTACTTAACAGGTCCACTTATTTCCCCAGCGAGCTTTGTCACACCCAACCTCCGATCTCAGTAACATGTCCCCTCTCTCAACAATGAATGTTTATTTGCATATTTTTGCTACAGAAACAAGGCAGCAAATAGTGCTTGGTGTATTTTTCATACACGTGAAAGTTGCTGTAGGGCAAATGCATAGGAATAAATTGTCGAGACACAGAGATGAGTGCCTTCAAGCTCTGCTAGACGTCGCCAAATCGCTCTTCCTGGTGGTTACTCCGACTGAGTCTCCCACCTGCGCATTTTTTGCTCAGTGTACCTCTCAATACAGTGTCATCAGATAGTTTAAACATGCATGACATTTGCTCACCAACTTGAAGTTAAAAATTGCATTTTTTACTCCACAGCTCTGTGACATCAGGACTTGTTTTCCTGCTCCATGGGCTTTAGAGGCCGCTGCACTACCAATTGCCCTGTGCTCTTGGCGTGAGTTAGATGTGTTCTCTTTGCTTGGAAGTTCTCGTGCCAGCTTCATGCGCTTGTTTCTTTTGTTGTTGTTATTGTGTGAGATGGGGTCTCACTATGTAGATTAGGCTGGTTTTGAAGTCACTGTGTGGCTCAAACTGGCCCTGAACTCCCAGAAATCCTCAGGCCTCAGCCTCCCGCATGCTGGGATTACAGGCGGGCACTACCATACCCTGCTTGGTGACTTCTTATCAAATGTTTAACTGCTTTCAGTTTTGTATTCACTGAAGGGATGTTCTTCTGAACTTGAGCAGTATGTACTTTTTCTAATACAAACATCTCTACTGTACCTTTTCCCCAGAATGGACATCTTTTGTACTTTTTGTTCTGGTAGCAACATGAAGTTTATCAGGGTACTGTGGATTTTCAAGATCTCCAAGTGAAGACTAAAACACTTTTTCTGGAACTCTGGATTTAGTAAATTTGTGATGAATCCTGACTCTACCGATGAGAAGTTCCATACCATGTGTCATCACTGTAGGCTGTCCTAGGTCTCTGAACTCCTGAGCACAAGATCCTTGCCGTAAACACAGTTGCTATTACTCTTCACAGGCTGCGCCTGATAACATTCAGCCTGAGCTTCCCCCATAAATTATGCTTTGTCAGATCTACTTTTTAAAGCAAAGGCTTTCTTGTCTTTTTTGATCTTTTGTGAATCTTTAATATTTTTTAAAAAGTTGTTTAAAATTTTGAATAATCAAAGCAAAATTCAAAAATAAAGATCCATGCTGAGGAATTCATTATCCAACATCCACCTCTTTTCTACTCCATCATCAATAAGTAACCATGTGATGTTAGTTTCTTGTGTATCCGTCAAGAGATAGCTTTTATGGATGTATAAGCAAATACAAATATATATGCTTATTATTAAGTGTATGTGATTATCACGATTGCTGTACCTTTTTGAAGTTCGAATGGTAGCAAAATACCATAGTTCTCTACCTTTGTTTTTAATTTTGTTTGACTCTGTTTTGTGTTCTCTGATACAAAATGGAAATCACCCTACATGAGCACCTTAAACATTTATTCCTTTTTTGTCCTGTTTTACAGGTACACAGAACTCCATTGTGCATCATCTTTAAATCACCACCCTTTTACTGCCTGACATTTATGCTGCTTCCCACACCACAATAAACAATCTTGCCACAATGACCGATTTTGTACTTAGTGCTATTTTGCATTAGCACAAACATATTCATAGGGCAAGTTGCTGGAGTGGAATTAGCACATTCTATAAAACAGCTGTTATGAGTACCCTGAATGCATTCTTGAATTTTTGACCATTGTGATTCTCAGTGATTTTCAACTGTTTTGTGCTTCTAGAAATTACATTAAAATTTTATGATGACTTCAGAAAAATGTGAACTTTACATGGTAATTAACTACTCATATTTGCTTTGGTAAAAAACTATATTAGACATCGGTTTTTTACTGTAAATATTAGAGACCTTCAGGAAGTACAGGTGTTGCAATCATGTTTCACACTAGGGGTCGCCAAAACAGTATTTAAGGCAACAGTAAACCAGTAGTTGATAAGGCTTTTGTGAGTTGCCCCGAGATTGTCGGACACAGGCAAGGTGCCTGCTGACACTGAAGATGCCTAAGACTCATGACTTAGGAGGTAGGCGAGCAATGATTTCCTCATCATGGTATGGATTCGACTTTGGGATTTTATATTTAGCTGGACTAAGTGGTGATGAAGAACTTAGCTGACACAGAATGTGAAGAATTTTTGAAAGGATTTCATAGCCATGGTTTTACTTTTCTGTGGTTAAAAATATCTTCAGCTTGTTTTTCTTTTCCCAGGCATCATGGGTGTCATATTCTTAGCAGATCTAAAGCTCAATTTGGGGAGGGCTTTGCACCCTTTTGGGCAATTATGGGGATTAAATTGTACCATTTTTTAACCTTTCCAGGAGCAGGTTTGAATTCCATGGACATCTACTCCATGACTCATTTGAGATTTAATAGGCCGGTCCTGCTCTGTTCTTCATTGACAATATTAAATCTCAAACTGGTACAATTTTTTGAACAATTTCTCAAGGGAGGAATTTCACAGAGGAACTTTAAAAACACTACATAAATGTCCCATTTGTTGCAGTAATATGAAATTTACTTTTATGGCAGGATTTTTATGACAATAGCAATGTCTTAGCTCAACTGCTGTAACAAAAAGCCACAGGCTGCGTAGCTCAATACCAACAGAAATTGATTTCTCAGAGTTCTGGAGGCTTGGAAGTCCACGGTAAAGGTGACAGCAGATTGGTGTCTAGTGAGGGCCTGCCTTCTGGCTCACCGACACTTGTCTTTTCACTATGACTTCACACGGTGGAAGGGGAAAGGAGGATTATTTTGTAAAGGCCCAGGTCCCGTTTAGTGTGGGACCTGCCTTTAGAACTTACTTAGCTACCTGCCCGGGGCTCCACCTCCACTGTGGGTAGCATTTCAACCCATGGATTTGCAGAGGAGGCGCACTACCATTTAGACCACTGCACTGCTAAGAGTCGGAGTTTGTCACTTCCACATTTTTCCTAAGAGAAGTAAATCACCATCGAATGCACAGTCACAGCGGATCCAGGTGTAAAATGTGACCATCCCTACCTTCGGAGAAGGAAACAAACGGTACTATGATAG